TATTCTATTCTAAAGATTCTATTCTATTCTATTTTATTCTAAATAGATTTTATTTTATTCTAAATAAAGATTCTATTCTATTTTCCTATTCTATTCTAAAGATTCTATTCTATTCTAATTTCTATTCTTTTCCCTTCTATATAAAGATTCTATTCTATCCCTATCTCATCCCGTTGGGAGGAGCTGGGGCAAGCAGCGGGAGCTCACCTGTCACGTGGTGCTCGGGTCTCAAACCCGGGCTGCCGGCTTTCCAGCTCACAAGACCAGGGGTCTTAACTGCTGAGCCACTTCATGGCGTTATATTCTTACCTGGGCAGAAATTCCAGTCAGAAGCAGCCATTTCTGCTTGGCATCGGTACGATAATTGATAATCTGGCAACCCGCAAGACTGGAATGACGATCAAACATTTTGACCGGCTGAGACTCCCCTTCCATGCTCCAGTGGTAAACAGCATTGTCGGTGACCAGCGCAACGGTGTTCAGGGAAATCCACTTCCAAAAGGTGACATCATCCGTCATGGTGTGAGCCTTCATTTTGCTCTTCATCTCAATGTTAAAAATCTGAAGGGTCTTCCCGGCTAAGGATAGGAGCGTGGATTTATTGAGCAAAGTCCCTTGTCACGGCCCGTCTTTTAAAAGCCTACAGATGTTTAAGCCTGAGAAGATTATCTGGACATCCAAATCCCAACCCAGGGAAAGGATCATGCACGGTTAATTTGACAGTAAAAATGGCCCAATTCTCAAATGCCATTTCTGTCCTACATGAGTCCTACAGAGAGCCAAGGGCTGAACTGATAAGGGCTTGGAAGCCAGCTGCAGCACATGTGTTTTCTCTCATGATGCTCAACATTCATGCAAAGTTACTCATCCTTAACCCAAGCAACTCATTTCACGTCTTGCTTGAGAAGATATAAGTACATCAAGACATACAACATCAGTGCAACACACACGTTAATATCCATATCTAGAAGAAATATGGGGAATCGCCTAAGGTTAGCTGCCATGTTTTATCTTGCGGGCACTTTCTTAGATGGGATTGTTAGTTTAGCTTTTAAATGAACCGTTGCCCTTAATGCATACTGTGGACTAAAGCGTACAGAAAAGACAGGGATTTAGAAAAGGGAGAGAGTACAATTACAACTAGGAAGAGTGAGGTGCAGGTCACCAAGGGGAATACCCGAAAGAATTAAGAAAGAGCGAACGTTCAATATGGGTCATGCTGCTAACTTTCAAAGTGGGGTCCCTTGGTGATCTCTGAACTTGGTTGCTTTCTTGCAGACGTTTCATTACCCAACTACGTAACATCATCAGTGCTGAAAGAGAGTAGGTAAACTCTGTTTATGTACCAATGGCTTGCTCTGTCAGTGTTGGCAAGAATGTCCCTGCAAGTTCCCCAACAACGGGCCCAGTCAAGGAATCACTATGAACAATCCCACCAATACTGATCAAGCTATTGGTATATAAAATGAGAGAAAACCCCACTCCCTCCTAGCACTGATGATATTGCCTAGTTAGGTAATGAAAAGTTTTCTGCGAGAAAACAACCAAGCTCAGAGAGTACCAAGAACCCCCCTATTCAACCCTGAGCTACAAATAATCTCTTCTATTGGTACTTTCAAATATGGTGTTAAGTGTGTTTTAGCCGAGATCCACAAACCAGGAAAATGTGAGCCTGAATTCCTGTATGGGCGTTCAATTTAGGAAATGGCCTTCAGTATAATCTAATCTAACCTCCCTAATCTGCCACACAGGATCGCTCTAAAATGAGAACTGCCCTTTGGGGTCCTCCTCTGAAGATCTTTGAGGAAATGTAGGACACCGAAGGGATAAAATACAAATAAGCAGGACTCCGTGAAATTACCCCCTTACATGTCGATCTCTATAAAGCAAAGATGGGGAACTATGGCCAGTTTTACGATCTGTGGACTTCAACTCCCAGAATTCCTGAGCCAGCCATGCTGGCTCAGGAATTCTGGGAGTTGAAGTCCAGAAGTCATAAAGGGGCCATAGTTCCCCACCCCTGCTATAAAGTATTGGCAATGTTGTTTAAAAGACAAACAGAGCGAGAAGAGAATATATTTCTACATAAAGATATTACATTTGTGGAAGAGAGGAGCAGGGGAAGGCATGGGAGGCTAGAAGCGAAATAGGCTGATAAGTTTGGGGGAGGAGGACTAAGAGCTACAGATACTTCCAAGGACACTACCAGCCCCACAAGACTGCACCACCTTCAATCCAAAGGAACACACAGCACTGAAACTATGCAGGTAAAGACTTTCAAAGCTATGAAAACACTAAATTTGAGGGTTAAAGACTCACACTTGTCCACCAAAGAGTTAGGCTCCATATTCAGATGTTGTCCTTTAAATAGAAGGTTAAACTGATTTTTTTTTTAAAGAAAAAAGCAAACAAACCCTACATGATCATGGATTTCAGGAGGGTAGTTTTACAAAAAGGAGGGAGGCACTAGGTAAACTGTCTTGAATCCTGAATGAATGGGGGGGGGGATATAAATCAATATTTTATATACACAAATCAATAGGCTCATTCTTTTTTCTTTGAAAGCCTGAAAGGCTTCATTTCAGCCGTGTCCGTCCCCCCCCACGTTATATACAGAATACACAAAAAGCAATATACAGCCAGATATGATATTGTAAGTCTCTGTCCCGTTTATAAAAAGTCTGATGCATACCCAAGCAGAAATGCCTGTAGGGTTCTAGCATTCAAGTTATTTCCCCTCCTTCCCAATTGTCACCAAGTGCTGAAATCCAAATTTCACATGAGAGAAGAGAGATGCTTGTTAGGGATGTACAGAACTGACTAATTCAGGAGATGCTCCGGAGTATCCCAGCACATCCCATTCCTGTATCACTGAGTTTTGCACATCTGTAGCCTTTCATAATGCAGCCGTGCTAACTTTTGAAACTTTTAATCTGGCAAGCCTTTTGCATTCTCTTTTCATAAAACAGGACAAAGGCAAATACAATACAAGAGGTAACTCACCATCTGCACACACAAGAAAGCATTAGGAAGTGTGACAAAAATAGTGATAAAACATTAAAGCCGTCAGAAAAAGAGGACGCTGCTGTAATGAGACAGTTGAGAGCTTAGTTTATCCACCATGGGGGAGGGGGGGAAAAACATGTGGCAATCTGTGGACATTCTGAAGGCAAATTTGCTGGGCTTCGGGGGGAAGAAAAAAACTGGTTTACCCGAGACATTTACCATCCATTGTAAAGACAGTTCAAGTTGGGACCTGACTTGTGACCATATGAGGCCTAAGGTAGAATATAACTATAGTCGCGTAAGGCAGCGGCCCCCAACCTTTTGGGCACCAGAGACCAGTCCTGTAGAGACAGGTTTTTCCATGGACCGGAGGGAGTGTGGTTTTGCATGCTGCCTGCATCCCGCGGATGAGGCTTTGCTTGTTTGCGCAGCCCAGTTGCTGGCATCCCGCAGCCCAGTGCTGGTCCACAGACCAGGGGTTGGGGACCCCTGGCGTAAGGAGTCCCTGAGGATTTTATCCCTCTAGTTGTTGCTGACTATAGGGGGCATTGCTCATCTCCATTTCAAGGCCGCTGAACTTTCCCTGGTCACATGGCCAGCATCACGTCAAGGAACGCTGTTACTTTTACCACCAAAGTGGTACCTATTTATCTACTCGCATTTGCATGCTTTCAAAATGCTAGACTGACAGAAGCTGGGGAGGGACGTCGCATGGCCCTCAGGTCTTCAACCTGGACTGCCGGCTTTCCAGCCAAGAAGCCCTGCATCCTAACCACCACGCCACCCCTATAATCATGTAAGAGGAACTATTATTTCATTTTGATTTACCTCTACAATGATCTACATCAGGCGACATTCGGCACATAACAGGGGAGGAAATTTGTGCATGCCTTAGGAAAATAAATGTCTTTGTAGGAAGTATCTACATCTTTGGCCTGAAATGTTTTAACAAAACCTCTATGTTTCTTCTTTTTTTTAAAGGACAGAACCTATTTTTTTGAATTTCCACAGATTAAAAGCACGCATTTTAAGATAGGATAATGTCGAGAGGGTCAAATGCTTAGGAACTAATCAACCCCATTAGTTTTCACACAATGGTTGTTGCAAACACTGGGCAAAGCACAGCTTTTCATTGCTATCGAGGGGAGAAAATGAAAATTTACATTTGTTTCATTAGCAGTTGTGGTTCAAATAAGGAACCTGGGATGGTGGGACCCCTCAGAAGACACATTAAAATCCAGGCCTTGGAATCATAAAACACAAAGTCGACTGGAAAGCATTTTCCGTACCTTTGAGGGCAATCACTTTGCTAGCAGGGTTCATGATGGCACTATCAGCCGAAATTGGCCGGCGGATCGGATTGTTCGGGTCATTCATATCAATGATGACCACCTGAGCCTGCTCTCCCACTTTCTCTCGTATGCAGATGAATTTGTCAGATTCCATGGTCAAAGTACTGAAGCCGATGTTGGCTGGGTTGATACCCAGGTTCTGGAGCTAAAAAAACAAAAGAGGAATATCAAGGTTGGAATGAGTATTTCAACAAACCCTCTTTCATTGCTAAAAGTAATAGTAATAACAACAGGAGCACCGTTTGACCACAATCAGCATTCACAAATTCACCATCAGCCAATTGCAGAATTCAGCTTTACTTGGAACAGCTGACATCCTGCAACCATATTCTCCAAAGCACCTGAAGGCAGGACAAGAAGCAACAGGTGGAAACTAAACAAGGAGAGAAGCAACTTAGAACTAAGGAGGAATTTCCTGATAGTTATAAGAGTTAACAAGTGGAACGACTCGCCTGCAGAAGATGTGAATGATCCATTCGCTTCCAACACTGGAAGTTTCAAGAAGAGATTGGACAACCATTTACCTGCAATGCTATAGGGTTTTCTGCCTGAGCAAGGGGTTGGACTAGAAGACCTCTAAGGTCCAACTCAACTCCACTTTTCTATTCCATTCCCTGTAACACCATCAAACATCCCACATCTGCCTACCCCAGGTCCTTGGAAAGGAGTCATTGGGTAGAAAAAATGTCCAATCCAGTCTGAAAACATCAACCTTATTGTGCGATGATCAATAATAATTGTGCAAGAATTTATTCAGGAGTCCAGGTGGGTTTTTACCTAATACAGGTAGTCCTCAAGTTACGACCACAATTGAGCCCCAAAATTTTCTTGCTTAACAACAAGACAGTTGTTAAGTCAGTTTTGCCCATTTTACAGTCTTTTTTTTGCCACAGTTGCTAGGTAATGCAGTTGTTAAATTAGCAACACGGTGATCTGTGTTAAGTGATATGAATCTGGCTTCCCCATTGACTTTGCTTGCAAAAGGGGACTCCATTACCCCCGGGACACTGCAACAGTCATAAATACATGCCAGTTGCCAAGTGTCTGAATGTTGGTCACATGACCATGGGGATGGTGCAATGGTCATAAGTGTGAAAAATGGTCATGTCATTTCTTTCAGTGCTGTTGTAACTTAGAGCAGTCACTAAACGAATAGATGCAGGTCAAGGACTACTTGTATGAAATAGATTATGACTCTAAACATAATCCCTAAAGTATTTTATAGATAAAAAGGGAGAAATTCGAATGGCTAATATGAATTATTATGAATATGAATATTAGAATTTCAAGATAAAAAACAAGACAACAAGGGATGGCAAAGGGAGATGTCAATTTCTGTGGCTAAGGGAGACAATTAAATTAATTTTCCCCGTTTTAGGACCTTTCTTGCCATGGTTGTTAAGTGAATCACTGCAACTATTAAGTTAGCAACACGGTTGTGAAGTGAATCTGGCTTCCCCATTGACTTTGCTTTTCAGAAGGTTGAAAAAGGGGATCATGTGATCCCGGGACACTGCAACCGTCATAAATACGAGTCAGTTGTCAAGCATCTGGATTTTGATCACGTGGCCATTTGGATGCTGCAACGATTGTAAGTGTGAAAAACAGACATAAGTCGCTTTTTTTCCAGCACTGTAACCTTGAACAAGTCACTAAATGAACTGTTGTATTTATGGACGACTTGTATTTATGATAGTTGAAGTGTCCTGGAGATGTGTGGTTGCTATTTGCAATCTTTCCAGCCAGGTTACTAAAAGAAATGGGGGAATCCAGATTCACTTAACATCCTCATGATTCACTTAATGACTGTAGTGATTTTGTTTCCCAGCCATGGCAAAATCCCGCACAACTCACATAAAAATGCCTTGGTTAGGCATAGAAATTCCACTGCCGATCATGGCTATAAATTGAAGATATACAACAATAGCCAGGACTTTTTCCTCTGACTGATGAAATATTGTTTCTACTTATTTTAAAAATGATGTTAGCTGCCAGGCATTAAAACTTTGGAAGAGTAGCCAGCTGATCTCTGATTACTACTCATATCATCACTATCCTGGTCAAATAGGATCAAGACATAGTGTCAATTAATGTAAAATAATAATTCGTGCTACTGAACAGCTACTGAATTCAGGCATATAAAGTCTGGAAAAGCTACACAAATTAACGTCCTGGTTAAGTTTTCCTCTTTCGACAGTTTTGAGGGGTGCCTGTTTATTTATTTTATGTTTATGCTAAAGCCAGGAGAGTCTATCACCGTGTTTCTCAACCTTCGCAATTTTAAGATGTGTAGACTTCAACTCCCAGAATTCCCCAGTCAGCATCTCCACCCAGCTTAAAATTGCCCAGTTTGAAAAAAAAAAATGCTTTAGAATTGATCAAAAGTATAGGGGTTCCCCAGCAAATACCCTCTCTTCAATAAATCAGTTGGCTGATGGCACGTGCCTAACCATAAACCACAATGGCTGGGTTTATAGATTTAAGATGCTAAGGCAACAGCAAAGCAAGCTGCTTTTTGCTTACTGGAGGACGAGGATGCCTTAAAAAGCGGAAAGCTAAAAAGCTGCCGTTCCACATTCGTTCTACTTGGACGCCCCCTTAAGCAGCAATTACTAAGCACCCCAACGTTTTTTCCAACTTCCACAGGATTTAACTGCTGCTGCATATGCGGCTTAGGAATCAGCCATGAAATTTAAGGAGGCCAAAGCAGCCTTCAAGCACATTCTCTTCCCTAAAAGCCATGTTGAAGCAACTAACCCGACTATGGTTTGCACTAATGTTAACTTCCTACTTAGCTGTGAGGCCGAGGACAGTCATTCAGCCAGGAAAGAACAGCCTCCCAGGGCCTTTTCTTTCGAAAGAGATTTCTTCCCCTTCTGCAGCAATTTCCCTGGAAGTTTCACTTCCACCCTTATGCAAGATAGTCCTTTTACTAGCCCGGAGTGATTCATTCAAGGCAACCGGTTCGTGTTTCCTCAGACGTTTTCTGGAATCGCTTCTGTTAAATGGATGGGAGAACCCGGGCCGTGAATTCATTGTGTGTCTTTCCAAATTATCAGTGACATTTCATGCCTCTCGTGAAGGGCCCGAAAAGCGTTGGGTCCTTCCTTGCAGCCTCTGATAAGGGCAGGGTGGGCCGCTGGTTAAGGGCCGTGAACTTCTGTTACACCGCCAGAACAACGGCAGGCAAGGCTTAGATGCCAAGAACAATCTTTCAGGTGATATAGCAACAGCACTTAAGACTTATATACTGCTTCACGGTGCTTTTACAGCCCTCTCTAAGCGGCTTACAGAGTCAGCTTATCCCCCCCCCCCCCAAAATCTGGGTCCTCATTTTACCCACTTCGGAAGGATGGAAGGCTGAGTCAGCCTTGAGCCTGGTGGGATTCGAATAGCCAAATTGCAGGTAGCTGGCAGTCAGTAGAAGTAGCCTGCAGTACTGCACTCTAACCACTGCGCCGTGGCTGCTCGTGAAGCCTTCTAGATATTTAGGACTAGAATTCCCATGATTGTTGAACATCATCCTTGGTGACTGGGATCCGCAGATACCATGGTCCCAAATATTCGCAAATATTACCAAAAAAAAAAAAAAAAGGTTGGACAACCATGTGACCAGGATGGTATAACATCTCCTGCCTTGAGGGTTAGACTAAGATAGGGGACCCCAACCCTTGGTCCATGGACCAGCACCAGGTCATGGCATGCCAGCAACCAGGCTGTACAAACAAGTGAAGCCCCAGATGCGGGATGCAGGACGTAGGTGAAACCATGCCCGCTCCAGTCCCCGGAAAAAGTTCTCTCCATGGAACCATGATGCCCAAAAGGTTGGAGACCGCTGGACTGGGAAAGTCCTTTGGTCCCTCCCAGCTCTACGATTATTAAGTTCTATGAAATACAGATAGCCTTTGACTTACAACAGTTCGTTTAGTGAACTTTCGAAGTGACAACGGTCCTGAAAAAAAGAGACTTAGGACCATTTTTCACACTTATGACCATTGCAGCATCCCTGTAGTCACGATTTACATTTGGATGCTTGATAAGTTCATATTTATGGCAGTTGCAGTGTCCCTGGGGTCATGTGATCCCCCTTTTGCAACACTAGATTCACTTAATAACCATGTTACTAATTTAACAAGTGATTCACTTAACCAATGTGGCAAGAAAGATAGTAAAATGGGGCAATGCTCACTTTAACAAATTTCCCACTTGGCAACATAAATGTTGGGCTCAATTGTGGTCGTAAGTCAAGGACTACCTACCGTGTTTCTCATAAAATAAGGCCGGGTCTTAATTTTTTTTGAGCCCCGAAAAAACGGCTAGGACGTCTTTTCGGGGGTGACTTAATTTCTTCCCCCACGCACACCTCCACCTAGAGTGCCCCATGCGCACTCACCTCTCCATGAGGCTGCCACTGGAAGTTCCCCAAAGGTAGAGTCACCAGCCGCTTCTATCGGCCGGTAGAAGCGGCCTCGGGGCAAGCACCCACGCGCACTCACCTCGCCACAAAGCTGTTTCTATCAGCCAATGGAAGCTCCCCAAAGGCAGAGTCACCAGCCGCTTTGGGCTGAGGCGTGGCTGCCCACAGACGCACTCTCCTCGAGGCCATTTCTATTGGCCGATGGAAGCTCCCAAAAGGCAGAGTCACCAGCCGCTTCCATCAGCTGATAGAAACGGCTTCGTGGCAAGGGGAGTGCGCATGGGAGAGCGGCTGCAAACTTTTCTTAGCAGAAGGGAAGCAAGCTGAGTTTCTCTCTCTCTCTCTCTCTCTCTCTCTCTCTCTCTCTCTCTCTCTCTCTCTCTCTCTCTCTCTCTCACACACACACACACACACACACACACACACACACCACCCCTGCTAGACCTCGTCCCTGCACCGGGTCAGCCAAGCCCTTCTGACGAGGGAAGGTCTCAGCATCTGCGGGGTTCCCACTGCTGCCCTCACGAGGCCGTTTCTATCGGCCGATGGAAGCTCCCCAAAGGCAGAGTCGGCAGCCGCTTCTACCGGCCGATAGAAGCCGCTGGTCACTCTGGGGAGCTTCCATCGGCTGATGTTCTATCGGGAGTAGATCAGGGTATTCTAGCCTAGGCTACCTGCGTGGCGCCCCTAAAGGCAAGTTTTCTCCCCCCCTTCCCTTCCCATTTCTC